TTTTCAGACAGCCCCTTACCCCTAAGACTCACTAACATGGAAGCAAAGAGAACTCTTAGGACACACAAGTGCCTTGTGCAGATGCTTCAGCAAACCTTGTTTTTTGGCTTTGTGCATGTTCAACCACTCAGCCAGTGTTAACCTGTCAGTGCGCAGTTAAGTGGCAACTGCGTTAACTCCGAAAGGATCAAAAGTGACCAAATGTTCAAGATAATTCTGCCTGGTCACCAACTTCAAAAGGATAGAGAGGTGATCTTAGGAGTTCCTCAGAATGCTTCCGAGTCTAGTTTCTTCATCTTACAGAGCCTCACAAAGCATTCCCTCCCTCTTTTGGTGGGACACCGGTCCTTGGTGTTGGCGCTCTTTTCAACAGTCGCACCCGGCAGCATGTGCACCTTGATGGCAGGATGAGATAGAAAGTTCAGATAGCACACTTGTCCAGTCCGAATCTGACATAGAAAGAATAGTTATATAATCTTGTATGTATATGTATGTGTATGTATATATATATATATTGTACATGTGTATAAATACATAAAATAATGGCAGAGTATCGTATCTTCTCTCGTAGATGGATTCCCCGAAAACGATGCAGCTCAACAGGTGGCCCTGACGGTCTCTCGTTGAAACGTTGATGAAACCCGCTGGGCCCAGTACCGTTCGCACCATCTTCTCGCCCAAGAAGTTTCGGATCTCGATGGTCTGCACGGCCGAGGGGGCTCTTTCTCCCGGTCAATTTTTCTCACAGTTCATCAGGTGCAGGAGGGCAAAAGGGCACAGACCATGATGGGTGCAATCTTCAAGTCCTAAATCAGTCTGGAGGGGACTGCCGCATGAGCCATGCAAAGAAGAAAAATGGGTTTTTTTGAATTCGCGCCATCAGAAATCAAGCATCAAGCCACATGCGCCGCATGTAATCGGGACGTTGGAGGATTTGGAGGCTTCAGGCCCAAGCCCTGTTTCAAGCCGCATGATCCGCATTGTTTGAAGCCGGGTCAGATTACCTAGATCAAAAGGACGGGAGTGTAGCTAGTCGAATGGGCATAGAACATAGAAGTGGTGTTTTCTATTGATATTAACCTGGCAAAATGAACAGGGTGGTTTGGTCATTGAATGATTGCAGGAGAGTATTCAAAGTGGAGCACCAACACATTCGTATGTGCTAGAAACTACCTTGTTCAAGCCCCTTGTTCCAGCGGCCCTCGGCCGACACCCTGCACCTTCAACGTCCAGTCGCGACGGCCAGTCGCGACGGGTGTCCTGGTCACCACGTCTTCTTCCACACTCCGTCGCAGCGTCTGCGTCTCCGGTCTCGCAGCGGGGTGGTGTCCGTGCCTTGCCACCGCTGACGATGTTCACGTTGATGGGGAAGTGCGCATAGACCAGGCGCATCTTGTACTCGAACTTCTTGGTCACACCCTGACAAGGGTGCGGTGCAACATGGACGTTTGGGTGTCTTCATTCTTTGTGATAGGAAGCCACAGTGTGTTTGGTAGAGGATTTGGGATTTTGGAGATGTGAACGACTGCAAGACAGTAAAAAGGAAGTAGGGCCCTGAGACACAGAAGATCGCGAGTCGTCACTAGTCACTCACGAATATCGAGCTTGGCAATCAAAAAAGGACTGAAAGCTGAAAGCCTTTAGTTGGTAGTAGCTCTGCTCAAGCCCTTTTGCTTCTTGTGGCAGGCCTCAAAGAGGTTGGAAATGTGGCTGCATACCTGCCGCATTCGGTGCGTTCACTGCTTTCATGACTGCACCATGGTGCACCCTTGGAGGCGAACATGGGAAACATCCCCCTTTTCAACCCCTTTCCTTTGCAGTGGTTTCAGATTCTGCCTTCATCTGCGTTCGAATGTTCTAAGACTTCTTTCCTTATAAAATCATAGAGCCACCAAGCAGCGGCATTCCCTTCAATACGGTCCAGTGACGCCCTCTTTGTTTTAAAGCAAATCATGAGAACATCTCCGTGTCAGACCGGAAGAGGGGCTGTTTCGCATCGACACCCGGAGGACTTGTGGGCAGACTCACCTGTGACCATTTCGGCTGCTACACTGTCTTCAAAAAGAACATCCCAACAAAGCAGCAGCAGTGCCAGCGCCAAGAAACAATCCACAAATAATCACAAATACATACAAATACTACATCCACACCCAATGCAGCAGCTAGACCACACTGACCTCGTGCCACCAGCAGAACCACCGCAACTATCACTACTGTATCTGGAGGCAAAAGTACATGATCTGGAGGCAAAACATAATGCTTCAACTCACATACATACATCAGCAAGCTCAGGAGCGTTTCTTTCAGAACACTCTCTGTGGTTCTTCTGAGACGACAAACTTGCAGCTCAGTGGCAGTGTTCAGCATGGAGCACTGCTTGCTCTTGGCGAAGTACATCCGTGCGACAACCTCACCAGGCTGATGTCATGGAGAGTCAACACCACTGTGCATCCCCTTACCGCCTTAAACCAACATACGCCGTGGGGCGAAGGAAGACCAAGTCCTGATTCCACGCCTAGTCCAACTCCCCAACAAAGCTCGATCGATTCCTTCCAACATTGTGATGCTAAACTGGAGTATGTCAACTCCTTAGCACGGTCCAGCTTTTCGACCTATTTGACCTCAATCACTTCTGTCACTTCCAACAACACTCCCTGTCTTTTTCCAGCTTGCGACCGGGACGGATGGTCACCTGCTAAGAAAAGCCGACCAACCATTGGGCTGGGTTTGTCTGCGGTCTGAAATTCACTAAGGTCAAAAAGAACTAAATTACGCCCTCACAGACCCCAAACAGTTCTAGCATGTTCTAGCATTGTTTTTTGGTGTCAACTCCTTGAACTCCAATGTTGGTGGAAACGTCTGTAATTAGATTCCTTTAAACTCCAGCTGATTGGGAACGGCATGTGAACAAACATGTTTGATCACAATAGTTCCTGATGCCTGAAAAAAAACATGTGCCACGAAGGGGCATATGTCATGAGAAAGTCGGATGATGATATCAAAGTTGAAACGCGGAGCGAGAAGCTACTAGGGGCTCCTGGCATCGCTACTAGGAGCAAGGACGCTACGAACGGGGCTCCTGGCCTTACTACCAGGAACAAGAAGCTACTAGTAGCAAGAAGCTATTAGTAACAAGTGCCACGCTATACTAGTAGTAACAAGAAGCTACTAGTAGCAAGAAGCTCTTAGGATGACTGTTGCATTCGCCACGCGAACACCTCCCCGGGTGGAGAAACGGACAGCGGCCAGACCGACCCGACAGACCGACCCGACCTGGCCGCCCGCTGTCCGGCCGCGTGGTCAAGCCAGACACACCGAGTGGATCGGGGAGGGACAAGGCAACAAGGAGAAGACGGCTATCGTGCCAGCCCTTCTTTTCCTCAGAGAACCCCAACAGTAAACTGTTTGGGGAACAAGAGGAGGACTCGGGGTTCGCGAGCGCGGCCAAAGACAGCAAGAAAACACCAGGCAGACAAGAGCAGGAGTTGCGAATGCGGCTAGAGGACAGCAGGACAAGAGAAGGACATAGGTTTCGCCAACGTGGCCAGAGTACAAGAAGAGGACAACAGGAGGACAACACCTGGACGCAAGGTTCAAGGGCGTGGCCAGAGACTGCGTGCGGCCAGTGTTTTCTCAGACAGAACCACATCAGTAAACTGTTTGGGGAAAAAAGAAACGGGTTCGGCAACTCACACCCAGGTCGAAAAGTGTCCATCCCACCTTCTTGCCACCATTGGCCAAGAAAAGCTCGATGGGGAGGTGCTTAAAGTCTCTCTTCAAGCTGCCATGCTTGCCAGTGACCTGGCTTGGAAGAGGCACAAGTCTCCAAATGTTTTTCGGGGACTCTTTCAAAACAGCACTTTAACCATGGCGGCAGCAGCAGCATTTGGTCAGCTAGTATATACACTCTGACTCACTAACATGGAAGTGGAAGGCATGGCCCCTTGGAAGATGACTTTCCAGTGAAAATACAGGGCGCCACCCAGTTCCATGTTAGTGAGTCAGAGTGTAGATGGCAGCTAGCTTCAACCTTCCTTTGGTAGCTCTGCCGTCTACTGCTTGCCGTGACAGCTGTGCATCTGTTGCCATGTTCGGTCGATACCATAAACACGGTGCACAATAAAGCAGCTATGGATTGGTGTCCTTTCAAGTGACCATTGCCGCAAACTTCCTGTTCTGCTGCTAACAGGACTGTTGGAAGTCGCCAAAGGGGAATTCTCAGGTGGGGAGCAACCTGACTGCTTACTCCATCGACCGTCCTGAAATGCTGGGATCTGTCAGTCTAGGAACACGTAACTTTATGATACCAGGCCTTCATGGCCAGTATGACTGTCAATATCCTGGCTCAAGATTACACCCAGGGTTCTCATTAATATATTCAACATCAGCTTTGTCTTTGACAATGTGGAACTCGGCTTCGGAAGACAAAGGGCCTCAACGATCTTGGACTTCACCGTGATCTTGCACCCTGCACTCGTTTCTTTCGGCCGCACTGGGTGCCGAGGGGGAAAGGGGAGTGCGAGAGAAAGGGATTCATCGCTATGGTTTGATTGGGAATGAAACTGAGTGTGTCCTGCTTCTTGAGCTCGGACTGCGGGTGTGGTTGTGTTGTGCTGGTGTCAGGTGGTCTGAGCGATGACAAGAACGGAGGTGGAAGGTGAGTACTTCCAGAGCGCAGAAAAGCAAGTCGACAATGACCGGCAATGGCAATGACCTTGAAGGGTCTCCCCCAAACACATCTTTGTCACTTCACTTTTGAAGTTCTCCTTTTTTCTCCCGGCACTCTCATTTGGTTTCCATGCGAAACAGCTTTAAAAGAAAGACACACAGGCCATTTCACCTCGTGTTTTAGGATGTCACTGGGACTCACGTTCTCCGCTTCGCGGCCACCGTTTGTTGGTGGATGTGGGACGGGCCAGCCTAGCTTTCCCACGGCCGGGGTGTCGAAACGACCACGAACATCCACCACGGCCCGTGGCCGAATCGTAGTCTGATTCATGTCTAAAGCCATCACTGATTCAAGGCCTTTAGCCATCTCAAAGGCAAAAATGGAGCCCAAACACAACGATTTTTGACCGAAAAAGATCCTCAACGAAGTTTAACAAAGAACTTCACCTCGTTCGCCGGCGAGCGAAACAGGGCCTTTGGGCACCTTCACAGATTCCTGACAAGGCGACAAGCCGTGGACCGACTCGGCTGGTGAACTGCCGACTCGTCCTGTAGTGTGTCAACTGCCACCTGGATGGTCAAACAATGTCATAACATGTCGGGATTGATTCATCAACGGCCAAAACAAATGCGATTCTGACCTTCTCGCTTTGAGTCGGCTGACTTCTTGGGACCAAAAGATGGCGCAGTGAAGGCGCAGAAAGAAATCCGGGGAGCCCAGGCAAAGAGTCACTCTTTTGACCATATGGATTTTTTTAAAAAAATATATATATATATATATATACATATGTATGATATTCTATGACTGTATACTCTGGGATAGACATCACCAACTAAAGGGGTGCCGTGACGAGGTCTTCATGACTCCTGTCCTCCGTGAGCAAGGTCCTCATGGTGACTTCACCTGCAGAGCACGCTTCATGTTCAAGTGAAGTCACCAGATCCCTAGGATGGCTCCTAATGATGTATATAAGTCTTATGAAGCGATCAATTTCATGAATTCCGGATCATTCCGGGGCCCGTCTGTGGGGAGTTGTCTGGGCGATGCTGGCGATGTTTCTTTGACTCACGAATTCGGTCGAGTCGACTCACAAAGCGGTTCAACATGAGCCTGAGGATTTTTGATGTCCACGGCGTGCACGGAGTACGGATTGCACACCAAGTATATAAATGGATGCTTTCGAGCTACATATAAATGTATATATTACTATTACCATGATTAATAGTTGTATTGTCTTTTTTTTAAATATTATATTGTTGTATTATATGCTGTATTATATTGTTCTTGCTAAATCACATCTTGCACTTTCCAAAACGACCAACGGCAAAAAGCCTCCGATCGAGGTCCCCCAACCACGTTCCCCCCCAACCACGTTTCCCCCATCGTTCCGGGTCGTGACGAACCGTCGAAGACGAACGTAGCGGAAAAGTGCACGTGAGACGAACGGGGCAAAGGCGTGGATCGTGGCGAGGATGGGGAGCAGATGAGTTCATATTGGCTCATTCTAGGACATCGTCTAGGAGCTAAGGGTGACAAAGTTGAGAAGGAAGCTGCAATCTGCACCACACATGTCGCACATCGCAATACGATACGAAATGAGTGCTACATAAGAGTAGAGTTGTGAGCGTCCAGCTAAGCTCAGAGCTACCAGGTACCTAAACGATCCTGAAGTTGGATGATCCAAAGCTCCTTCGAGAGGCAAGGCAACCATATGCCAAATTCTTGAAATTCATGGGGTCAATCTGTGCACAACACAGACTCTACCAAGTGCATCCAAGTGCTCCAATATGATGTTGAGTCCACCAAGTTCCGTTCTTAGTACCCAAATAAAAACCTCACGGATGCCAACCCTTTAAAATCGCCAGTGATGCTCCTTGACCTTCCAAATTCCGCCGAGCCACGGTGATGTTCCGCCAATGGCGGTCGCGCGAAGCTTTGAGCGTGGACCGCTGCAGGCGACCGAATATGTCACATGTCAGTGCGGGACCGTCTCGGAAGCATCTCGGCCCCCGAAAAAGAGGAGTCCAATGAAATTGGCCATTGGGGATAGGTTCAGATGTGTACCCGATGTGTAATTACCTGATGTGTACCCTGATTCGCCCCAATTCTGCAATCTGGGCGATGGCTGTCAGTCATCATGAACGACTTGACTTTACTTTACTATGATCTGGTTCTAGCTATATATATATATATATCGAATCTCCGAACCCGTCCATGTCAATCCCAAAGGCAGCGATGTCGCGCAGCAATTTCTCACCGGGAAGCTGGGGGATCGGCTTCTCACCATGTGCTTTGCTCCTTTTCAGGACGTATCCAAGGGCATCATGAAAGTCAGATACAGCAATTACATGATATTACATATAACTACTCCATGAAACTTCCAATGTGTCCAGAGTTTTCAGGGTGTTTCCATGGGGACAAAGCCAGGTGTTCAGAAGCACCGCTTCAGTGATGAATGAGCTTTCGCACTCTTCACGCTGCCGGAAGACGGAAGATCGGAGCTTGACTCCAACATGCCGCCGAGGTACACCGAGAGGGCTGGGGCATGGAGAGATTGACGCGTTTGGGAGCGAACCTGAACAAACCTTGATGGGATCCCATCAACAAAACATGGACTCAAAGATCAGAAAGGAACTCTTTGTTTTCGTCTGTTCTTGTGACTTGTTCTTTTTTGGATGGTATGTGAGTGTATGTGAGCGTATGTCGCTGGAAACAACGTTGCAGTGCAGAGCGGAAAATCTGATGGAACCTCTCCACACCTTGCAGAACCCTCTTTCGGCGTCACTCATCGCCAGTACTGATCTTGCTTCCTCAGTCTTCGCGGAAGTCCCTTTTGCGGGCGGGTGCTATGGCTTTCTTAGTTTTGGAAAGGCTATGATGATCTATTTGGTGGGTTTATCATACACAGCGTAGGTTCGAGCTGTTTTGCAAAGGGGCGTGTTTGTTGTTGGAGACTTCTCTGGTCTGGCATCTCAGCTGCTTCTGAGGTGTGCCAATGGTGAAACACCTCGACAAACACTCAGTGACATCAGGATGTGTCTCGAAAGAGGACCCCCAGTTGGGCGTGCACTAGGAAGAGATCATGAACCCCGCTCTGTTGTCGAGATCCTCGATTTTCTGAAGCAATCCCACTTCAAGGATCACCTTTGACCCGCCACAAAGCACCACACAGCACGATGTCCTGCCCCGCCCTGGCCCGTCCAAGCAACGTGATGTGGAGGATTTCGTCCATGGTTTGTTTGACCTGCCAAGGGGGGTCGCTTCGCAGGGCTTGGGCATGACTTGCCGCCTCTGCACAGCTCCGAACGGGTAGGACGTTCAAGATCTCCGATTTGATGAGGCGAGCCCTGTCATGAGGGGATCTCCAAACTGGCTAAAACAGGACTTGCCCAAGATGGACATCTAGAGTTGGTAGACATGGTATTCAGAGAGCGAGCGAAGAACCAGACAGTACGGCAAAACGTCATCTTGTTCTTGCCACACAGTTGCCTTGTTCTTGCGTGTGAGACTCCTCTACCCCAGCGTGATAGCACCACAAAAGTCACTCATGGGCATTGGGCTCAAAAGAAAGGGGGCTTCGTCCATGGACTCTTTTGGGAAGGCCCTGTTGAAGACTGCCTGGGAGTCATGAAAACACAAGTTCAAACCTACTTTCCGGCCTTCTAGGAATGATCGTTCTTCTGAAAGAGACCCCGGACCGTCAAGTCTGACGTCTGAAAAATGAATCGGTGTGGAGAAGAGTGACCCATTTAAATGTATTTATATATATACTACACAACATGGCCATGTTTGAAGCCGTTACTAACTTCTGGCGCTCTGATTCTTATTTGGTGGTGACCACAACCAGGTCTAGAACCCGCTGCCCAACTCTTTGGGGTTTTGGAGAGAACAAACAACATCAAACAACAAATCGGTTGGTCATGGAACAACATTCACGGTCTCCTTGTCGCACGCCACCCGAGGCCACGCAAGCGCAAGAACCCCGCAAGCTTCAACAGAATGATGAGAGTCAGGTTTCAGCGGCATCTAGCAACAAACAACGTCAAAGAAGTCAAGATGAACTGAAAAACATTCAACCACAAAAAGAAGGAAGCCTGGTGCACAATAACATGCTTAGTTGTGCTACGCTGCTACATGTATCACACAACTGCGTTATTCTATCACACAACTTCTCTCAAGTATATACATCATGGCACCAAAAGCCATCCTCAATCGATGACATTGCAGTCGCTCCTTTTTTGGCAAACATGGACCAATCAACTTGCACGTGCAATCAAGGTGTAGCACATCAAAGGATTGTCATTGCTATATATATATATATATACCACCCGCCCACACCCACCCCGCCCCACATCAGGCAGCACTTGATGCAGAAAGTATGGCGTCTTACGTGCACCCACCCGACCCATGTCAAATGACCGGTCAAATGGACCTTCGCTGCCGCCGCGAGCGGCGCGCGGGTCCCAAAGGGGTCGGGAAGGAACAAGCGGAACGCCTCCGTTTGCACGTTGGTCATCCTGTAGACCGGACAAAACACCAACACCATTGTCCAACAGCCCATCCAAAAAACACCATGGTGCGCGCCTCCGGGAAATCCTTCCAGTATTTCACCTGCGTGGCAGTCATGTGACTGCGACCAATCTGCACCTTAGACGTCAGTCAGTGTCAGACAGGCAGCCCAATATCAAGCCGACCAAAGGACCTATGTCAGGAAGATCGCTAATTCAGAGAGTGACAGGCACGGCCTTTTGCTTAGTTCTTCACCCCCCTCCATGTCTTCAATGCTTCCACCCTTGTCTTCATCTTCCATTCGCTCGAACTGGGCGTTCCGGCTGTCTGCCAGTCCAGAGAATCAATGAGGCCAAACTCTAAAAGAAGTGGCCTCAGCGGGTGGGGGTCGCAACGTGTCTCCCTTTTCTTCCCCTTTCGCAAGCAAGAGACACAGCAAATGCTCTCATCGAGCGGTCTTTGAAGGTCCACCGTTGCTACACAGAATGGAGAGAGGCGGAGATGCCCAAGTTGCCCCGCGAGAGAGGCCCCAAAAGATGCGCTCAAAGCACTCTGCACAACATTTTATGGTCTGGGTCGGTCTCGAACATAGAAAAACACGTACGATGCCATTGGACAAGCACTTGAACCCATTCTGAACTATTGGAAGCTTTCGTGAGCTTCCACAGTTCATCTTCCACCGAAAGTTCCTTCCGGACTCGTGAAAGCTTTCGATGGGGAGCATATTGGATCAATAAGTCTGCCTCCCCCCTTCAACGAACCAGTGGCGCTCTGTGGCATGTCGCCCTCCTAGTAAACACACCAAGTCAACAGGTCAATGAACAACACAAAACACAAGAGAAACACATCCTGCAGTGTTCCTGCTCCTTTTTCCTCCCTCTATCACACGTCCTTCTGTTCCCAAGCGACCCCAGACAAATTCGCTGCGCCCCCCGCAGTCCACCGTTTCCCGGCACGTCCTGCCTTCGTCCCGCCCAAACGGCACCCGAAGAAGCCGGTTGGTTTTTGGGATTTTGAGGATCCGACCCTTCCACCTGCACCAGGATCTCTTCGATCGCCAGGATGTAGCGCATCATGTCCTTAGCGAAGAAAGGCGCGAGACCTGTTCTTCGCCGACCTTCGGGGGGACGGGGGACTTCGGATGGAGCCGAAGAAAAAGCTTGGGATGGATTCGGATGGATGAAGAACAATGGTGGTGATCTGGCTCCCAAACCTTTCAGAAGAGCCATCCCCAACTCAGTCTTGACCATGGGATCCGGATGTCCTCGATGTCCCACTCACATGTCCCTCCAGTCCCACTCACAACAGTCCCGCGTTGCGGGCCCGCCCGCTGGGGATGGGCGAAACTCGGCTCTGGGTAATCGGATACAACGCTTGGAACCGCGGTTTCGGCTCATTGGTTCGTCTCGTTTCGTCGATTTGGGCCATGTGAAAATGTTTTCGATGTTGGAAGACTGACCCTCAAACCTCAGAACGGGTAGAAAATTATTCCAAACGTGTGGTGTGGTGCAAATTTTGTTGAAGCTCACGTGAGATGATATTGTCACTTTTCGTGGCAGGCGCAGTACTTTGTGCGGATTTTGAGGTGTGGAAGTGCGATTTTCGTGGCAGGCGCAGGAAATCGTGAGGTTGCGAGGTGTGACGGAGGTGACATTTCGTGGCAGGCGCAGTACTTTGTGCGCGTTAGACGCGTGGATGCGGAATCGTGAGGTCGTGAGTTGTGGTAGAGGTGATGTCGCTGTCACATTGGGATTGGCGTGTGAGCGGGTATTGTTTGGAGGGGCTGGACTCGCGAACCTGCTTGGCAGGGCTGCGTGATGTGTGTGCTCCGATGGGTGTTTCCGCTTGACTTTTGGAGGAAGTCTCGTACGAAATCCTCGTTTTGCAGACTTTGACTTTGACATGTGAGTTTTGGAGGAAGTCCGAAACGCTTGTTTTGGAGACTTGACACGTGACTTTTGGAGGAAGTCTCGTACGAAACGCTCGTTTTGGAGACTTGACGTGTGACTTTTGGAGGACGTCTCGTACCAAACGCTCGCTTCTAGTGTGCCACAAGAGTGTCCCAAAAGAGTGTCCTACAAGAGTGTCCCACAAGAGTGGTCCGACAAGAGTGTATCAGAAGAGTGTCCCACAAGAGTGTCCTATAAGAGTGTCCCACAAGAGTGTCTTACAAGAGTGTCCCACAAGAGTGTCCTATAAGAGTGTCCCACAAGAGTGTCCTACAAGAGTGTCCCACAAGAGTGTCCACAAGAGTGTCCCACAAGAGTGTCCCACAAGAGTCCCACAAGAGTGTCCTACAAGAGTGTCCTACAAGAGTGTCCACAAGAGTGTCCTACAAGAGTGTCCTACAAGAGTGTCCCACAAGAGTGTCCCACAAGAGTGTCCTATAAGAGTGTCCCACAAGAGTGTCCTACAAGAGTGTCCCACAAGAGTTTCCTACAAGAGTGTCACACAAGAGTGTCCTACAAGAGTGTCCCACAAGAGTTTCCTACAAGAGTGTCACACCAGAGTGTCCCACAAGAGTGTCCCACAAGAGTGTCCTACAAGAATGTCCTACAAGAGTGTCCCACAAGAGTGTCCCACAAGAGTGCCCCACAAGAGTGTCCTGCAAGAGTGTCTCACAAGAGTGTCCCACAAGAATGTCCGACAAGAGTGTCCCGTAAGAGTGACCCACAAGACTGTCCTATAAGAGTGTCCCACAAGAATGTCCGACAAGAGTGTCTTATAAGAGTGACCCACAAGAGTGTCCTATGAGAGTGTCCCACAAGGAGTGTCCTACAAGAGTGTCGTGTAAGAGTGACCCACAAGAGTGTCCCAGAAGAGTGTCCTACAAGAGTGTCTACAAGAGTGTCCCGCAAGAGTGTCCCACAAGAGTGTCCTGCAAGTGACCCACAAGAGTGTCCTGTCCCACAAGAGTGTCCCAGAAGAGTGTCCTACAAGAGTGACCCACAAGAGTGTCCTACAAGAGTGTCCCACAAGAGTGTCCCACAAGAGTGCCCCGCAACAGTGTCCCAACAAGAGTGTCCTGCAAGTGACCCACAGAGTGTCCTATAAGAGTGTCCTACAAGAGTGTCCCAGAAGAGTGCCCCACAAGAGTGTCCTATAAGCGTGTCCCACAAGAGTGTCCTACAAGAGTGTCCCACAACAGTTTCCTACAAGAGTGTCCCACACGAGTCTCCCACAAGAGTGTCCCACAAGAGTGTCCTACAAGAGTGTCCTACAAGAGTGTCCCGCAAGAGTGTCCCACAAGAGTGTCCTGCAAGTGACCCACAAGAGTGTCCCACAAGAGTGTCTCACAAGAGTCCCTTAAGAGTGCCCCACAAGAGTGTCCCACAAGAGTTTCCTACAAGAGTGTCCCACAAGAGTGTCCTACAAGAGTGTCCCACAAGAGTGTCCCACAAGAGTGTCCCACAAGAGTGTCCCGACAAGAGTGTCCTATAAGAGTGTCCCACAAGAGTCCCACAAGAGTGTCCTACAAGAGTGTCCTACAAGAGTGTCCCACAAGAGTGTCCCACAAGAGTGTCCTATAAGAGTGTCCCACAAGAGTGTCCTACAAGAGTGTCCCGCAAGAGTTTCCTACAAGAGTGTCACACAAGAGTGCCCCACAAGAGTGCCCCACGAGAGTGTCCTACAAGAGTGTCCCACAAGAGTGTCCCACACAAGATTGTCCCACAAACGTGACCTACAAGAGTGTCCTATGAGAGTGTCCCACAAGAGTGACCCACAAGAGTGTCCCACAAGAGTGTCCCACAAGAGTGTCCTATAAGAGTGTCCCACAAGTGTGTCCTACAAGAGTGTCCCACAAGAGTGCCCTACAAGAGTGTCCCACAGGAGTGTCCCACAAGAGTGTCCTGTAAGAGTGTTCCACAAGAGTGTCCCACAAGAGTGTCCCACAAGAGTATCCTACAAGAGTGTCCCACAAGAGTGTCCCACAAGAGTGTCCTACAAGAGTGTCATTTGGACATATGTATATATCTTTTCGAACGTGTTTGCATTCGGGTTCGTGGGCTCCATCTTGTTTACTGATGTCTCTGGAGACTCCTGCACAATGTCAGCCAAGTCTCTGGATAGCATTTTCGAGCAAGCTCAGAGAACTGCTTCTGGTAGAATGGCTCCTTGTAGGCGGCCATGAACCTGAAGCGAAGAGCGAAACGTTGGCGACCACGACGGCACACTCAGCTGTGCAGTTCGGATCCAGCGCCGGTTCGGCGATTGGATCAACTCGGTCCAACAGTTGCGCGCTCGTTGCACATCCAAACGTCTCCCCTTTTCATACATCGGGACCGAGACTTGCCCACCCACCGAGAGGGAGTTCTACCACGAACCACGGCTTGGTCCGAGTGCGTCCGAGAACTCCTGAAGTCACAGCGAAGATGAATCGCTTCGCTTCGCCAGGCGGCTTCTCTTGAAGTTCCAGGAGCTCCGTTGGCGTGACCTCGGGCCGCGGCTTCGGTCGCGGGACGGTCGGGAGGGACGGGCGGTTTGGATGGTGGGTTTTTGGGGGGTGGTTGGAGGCATGTGCGAAAGGGTGGAATTGGTGAAAGTGAGGGCAGAAATCGTGCGATGCATGGCATGCCTGCAGGTGCAGAATTCCCAGCCACTTGTTTGCTATGCGGAAGTTCAGCTGCTTCACTCCAATATGGGTATTCTACATCAAAAGCACGGTACAAAGTTGCGGGTCCTTGAAAGTGCCAAGAACAGTGGCGCTTCAGCCACACTGTCACAGACCATTGTGACTGTGGAGTTTGCGATTGACGCTGGGTCTCGAGCGCCCTCCCAGCCCGAGACTTCCTGCTCCGCCTGCAAGCTTCGCAGGCTGCTTCGCTCTCGTTCCATAGTGCTTCCCACCAAAAAAATGAAATTTGATCGGCTGCCGCACATACAATCCCTTCCCCCCCAAGATTGCTGCCGGCAGAATGAGTCTTGATGCATCCGTTCACTGTTAGGTGGAGGCTTCGATATGTAAGGGGAAAGATCAATGTATAAAAGTGCAACAGGATCGACCATCGGAGGACATCGACACGGATAAGGCCACGACCAAGAAAGGGCTCTCTGAAAACGGGCTCCAAGAGAGAGAGGTCTACTCTGCTTCCGGCCAACAGGGCGTCATCCGGGACGATCTGTCGAGACCCACGACAGTCCTTAAGTCCTTTGGACGTCGGATTCGTCGGTGCGTTCCACACGACGGACTGGTCCTGACTGACCAACGGAAAACATCACCCAGCTTGGCGACTCACCTGCAACCCGAGAAACCGGACGCCGATCCCAGGACGGGGAAGGACGGTGACCAATGGCTGGAAAAGGCATGGAAAACACATGGAAAAACTGAAGAAACGTGCCTTCCTGAAACCAAAGCACCTACCCTGGCACCTACCCTGGCACCTCACTGTCATCGGACTCTGCAGAGAGCGACTCCACGAGGTCACCTCGTTCCAAACCGATTCGGACGGTCGCCTCACCGGTGGGTTGGAGTGAAGGGCTGGAGGCCATCGCGACTGTAGGTTGAAGGAACTCAGTTCCAGGGCCTTCAAGGGGTAAGGGACACCCCTGAAAACCTCTAAGGAGCTATAAATAGACATCCTTTGGAGGATCCTGGTTGTTGACTCTTAGTTTCAAGTCGAAGGGCTTTGTCTATCTTTTTCTGCTCCTCTTTCGTCTTCGTGATTCTTGTGTCGCCTTTGCTTGATCGACATGATCGACCAAAATAGAAGTTCCCCATGCGGAGCAAATCTGCGTCGGGTTGGGAGGTTGTTGGAAGCAACTTTTCTTTTGAGGAAAGATGAGGAAAGGATGATTTCTCGGGTGCCTTTGTCCTGGGATGGACTAAGCCAAGTGCAAGCGCTCTTCATCTGGAACCTCTTTCACTTCAGCCTTCATGCTTTCAATATCTACTACTTGCTCATGCCAGGCAGGCTGTCTAAGCTGGCTGGGAACATCATCCATTCTCGCCACAACACCAGTTTAGCTCTGACTCGCTCCAACTCAGCGTCGCTTTCCCCCCCGCCAAGAACGACCTTCACCGTCTCGACCAAAGCCCCCTCGGCTCGATCGAACCGCCCTTCCACCCTTCGTTCCACGGCCTATCCCACGATCACGGTCCAGCTGATCCGCCAAGTCCTGGGATACTCGGGACTCGTCGCGTTCGTGGGGGGGGGAGGGCGGAGGCGCAGAAAAGAACACTGGGGGAAGGCACCCTGAAATCGAGACAGTCCCGTTTTTGCCGGTTACAACGAATTGAACCAATTGAAAAGAGTTATTAACGGTTAGATGCCTACCTCCCCCCCAACAAAAAGAAGGTTGGGGAGCGCTAGTAGCCGCTAGGGTATACCATGCCTACTGGTATCTAGTGGTGAATTCCCAGCTTTTCACCTCACTAATTCTGAGTTCGGGCCGACCGGTGGCGAAGTCCCGTGTTTCCACCAGTGGTTTCCACCGGTGTCTCGCCTTCACCGTGGGGAAGTCCAACAACAAGGTGGCCTCGTGGTCGCTTCACGGCCGAACGGCGTCTGCTGTGAAGGGGTGCCAATACCAAATTCACCCTCAACAAAAAGACTTCAACACAAACCACCTGGCCATTCTCCGTCTTTGTCTACTATGTCACTCTTTCATGAAAGGAACCCTCAGCTACCACAAGCGGCCCTTCTCACTCTGCCAGACTCGGCACGCCGGCAGGAAGATCCAAACGGAAGGAGCTGCTCAAGCGATTTCGCACTCGAATCAGCTCCAACCTGACCCAAGAAGGCTGGCACGATTTTCCACATGTCCATTGGTTGGAAAGGCCCATCGGCGTGCAGGGCCGGAAAAGAAGGAGTATAGGGAAGGCTTGGTAGCTCTTGAGGGTCTGAGCTTGTTCCTTCAAGACCCTGTGAGAGTAATGCGCTGGAAAGTCCAGCAATGGCCACATCCAAATGATACACCAGAACATGCCGGGAAACTGAAACTTGTACTTCTTCTTTGGGCTGACAGTGGCCCGAATTTTTGTGAGCACGGCGAAGTGACCCCCAGCCGCGTCCAAGCTCCCGGCGAGTCCATACCGTAGTCGAAAAAGCCCTTGTGCAAATCCAGGCGGTCAAGCCTCGTGGCGGTCACGCCGGTGAAGTCCGTGGTGACCGGGGACGGCGGCAGGACGGAAGCCATAGTTGTGATGCTATTTGGCGGCAGAACCAAAGGACCATGGTCAGAATGCTAAGACAAAAACTGAACTGCTTCTGACTTCATGTATATATCTATATATATATTATGCATTGCATGATTATGCCTAATATTACATATTACATCTAGCTATTTCAAGACGATTCCAAACGACTTGATGGCCTGCATGATTGGCAATAGCACTGAAGGCCAAAGCCGCTCAAGTTCTGTCAACTTGTGGAACAAATCCTGAAAAGCTCCATCCACTACATTCACTTTGCCGGGAAGCCTCCAGTTTTGCACCAGTCCAAGGCTAGACATGTCTGGTTTCGCACGTGCCATTCGGATCCGCGATTGACCCACCCCAAACCGGTCGTAGTCTACATGTCATGCTGACTATTCTCACCATGGCAGCCAGATACTCTACATCAACCATCTCTAAGTTCCTCTCCCTATGTTCCAAACAAAGTGAAACTTCCTCCATCCCTGCGCAAAACAAAACACAACCCCCAAGCCACCGTGGCAGCAACACCACGGGCAACAAACACAGACCACCCGAACCGCCATCGCTGAGCGGCTTGTAGCCCAATTCGTCCATGATTTGTGACAAGACTTCGATCGATGGAATTTCCACTTTGGCCTTTTGCACCTGGCAGAGGAGAGCAGAGGCGAGGCGATGCTAGAAAAGCCCGAGAGTTGAGCCGGGAAGCTTGAGGGGCAGAAGTCAAAGTCATAAGTGTTAATGAGGCCAGACAGGGCCACCATGAGGTCTGCCTAATTCCACAAGAATCAATAGTGCTGGTCTCCAGATTGCCAGGTTCGGATGTGGATGTGGGCTGGTGGGTTGGAACTGATGTGCCAGTGTTTAGGCAAGCTCCAACTTCTGTCAGAGCACACTCTTCACATTCGAGACTCTACTGAGACTATACTGGTTCCCTTATGAACGGTACGACAGGCTCTTCAAGAAGAAAGGATGGCGATGGTGTACGATTGGTCGACTCTGTAGAGCATGATCACTTCATCAAGCATGACCCCAGTATGCTTTTCGAAGAGAACGAAAGCTTGTACAAGACATCCATCTGTAAGGTTCCTCGTACTACGGCATCTACAGCTTTCGGATCCAATGATGATTAGGCTTGGTGAATTTCTTGAAATCCTCATGCCAACAGCGGGCCGGTCACCATCTGACCAACCTCGCCCAACCGTGGTGGCGCCCAGCGGTGCCTGGGTTTCCAGCACTTTCCCCAGGGACTTCACGTTGTACTGGATGAGCACTCCGACCTGAGAGGCGTGGTCCAGTGCTTGGTCCAGTTGGGAGGTTTGGGGAAAGGTTTGGAGACGAAAGCCAAAGCCACGTGGATGGACATGAGATCGTGGAGCTTGGAGGAATGGTGCAACATAAAACCCTTTGAATAGCTCTTCCTCCACCTCGTCCCATCTGTTCTCAACAAAATTCCTCTTGAAGTCATTGGATCATAGTATTGCAGAAAAATTGCAAGGAATTCTTGACCGCAAGGTGTCGTTCCACTTCTTCGATTTGTATGAAGAAAACACCCATGACACATCGATTTATCATGTCACCATGTCACAACGATTGGTGCTTTCTTGCAAGTGGTGCAGGACCCAACCAGAAGCCAGTTGGTTTACTGACTAAGACCTGTCTGGCATAGTTTTCGTGATTTTCTCCTTCAGGCTCAGCATGCCTTCAACATACCAATCCAACCAGGCCTCCCAAGCATCGCCCCCTTCCTCCCCCCCCCCCCACCCCCCCCCCCCCCGCCCCCCCCCCTGTCCCCCCCCCCCCGGCGGACGTCGGGCACCACACGCACGACCTGGCGGGACGGCGAGCGGCGTAGCTTGGCTCCTCTCGAATGGCTCGAGGCCACCGGGTTCGCTCCGTTTCGGAGCGCCACGAATCCACGATGATCCACTCACCCCGATGCCGGGGAAGAGACCTGCCCCTATGGACGAACGACTGGAGGGTAGGCACCAGGCGGTATGGTAGACACTGACAGTGTGTAGACATCTATACCTCAGGCTTGGTGGGTGGTCTTTTGGTCCTTTCCCCTGCCCGAAAGAGCCATGGGGGGGGTCCAGAACAAAGGTCGCCCAACAGAAACAGTTGCTTGAATCCTTTGTTTGAAGAGCGCTGTTCTGCAGTAAGGATGTATGATGTTGGGGTAAAAAACGTCTCCGTCTCGCGCTCCAACAAACTCTCAGCCAAACCTCTGCACCGTAGCCGGTGTGGAAATCCAAGATGGGATCCACCTGAAGTGCAAGAAAGCTATGTGTTTCCTGGGGGGGTCCCCCACCAACAGGATTTAGGTGATGCTGCTTGAATCTTCTTGATATGTTGCAAGGTAGGAGGTCCCCACTTTGACACCAATGCAAAGGTTTTTGTTGATGGAGAAACTCCTGACTGCTGCTTGATGGGCCAACTCAGTGGAACAGAGAACAGCGGATCTCACTTCTGTGCTGCAGGAACTACTCGCTTCATGACTGTTGGCAGCCCACCTCACGTCGCAAAACGAAGCACCAGCACCCCGCGTCAGAATGTGATCGTGATCCGCACACCCATCGGCGGATTGGGCACAGACATCGCGGATTCGGTCGGCGTCGTTCTGGCACTGGAAATCCCTCAAAGGATGGACGAAGGAAACTTCTGAGGTTCCAGCCAGCCGTCCAGCCTTGTGATCATCCACCTGGGCTCTCAGAGTCTCAGACCCTTCGTGTTAGCAGCGGACGTGTGGAAAAAACGAGTTGCTCCCAAGGCAGCTCGTGTTCGTCTCACCCCAACCAGCCTTACCAGCTTTTAGAGTGAGGAGTTCTGGACCCTGAACAAGTCCCCCATCAGTGTCTTTTCAAAAGCTCGGAGCAAGATCCACTTGTTCAAAGCGAGGGACCCACGACATTTGAAACCTCTTTTGAGGAATGTCTTTTCAGCCTTGAACAAATTGAGGGACCCCAACCCCAAGACCTGTTCGCAAGTTTTCCGACCAACAAAAGAAATCGCGAGCCCACTTGCCAGTTGAGACAAACCCACATAAGCCCAAATGGCCCAAAATCTACGGGCCAAAGTTCTTTTGGCAACTCTGTGGAGAATTCGTTGAGCAGAACATGGATCGCATTATCTGAGCCGTAGTTGTAGTCAAAACCGGGGTAAAGCACCTGCTGGTGGTTGCTTCGTGATGGGATCCCAACCAAAAAAAAACAAGGGCATCCGAGCATGTATTCTACTGGCCCTTGAAGCGCTTTGATGGTGGCTCATGAGGTGAACGCATGCATTTGGACACATGACATTCCCTGCAATGAATGACATCTCATCCATTCAGGCGACTTACTGTTTTGACCAGCACTTGTTAGCAATGCTATAAATACACAACAAACTGGGACGGAAAAAAACACATAGTTTATGTTTAAAAAATGAATACTAAGTATATAAATATAAAGTATGTAATGTATGTCTTTGTAATGAACCTATGTGTATATATATATATATGTTAATTATTTGGATCAACACATTTACTTGGTTCTCATGTTCCATTTATGTGTATTCTGTTGTTTGTGTTAAATTGTATAAACTTGGAGTAAAAACATTAAGAACAGACTTAAACAATATGATGTAATATACATAGAATGCGAGCAAGGAAGAAACCTGTTAGACTCAAGGAAGCTTCAGAGAGTTCTACCAAGTTCCCTCATGGAGATCGGAATAGATCGGAGCATCCGCGGAGCTTTACAAAACCTCACACAACTCAAAGCATGGGGCCGTTGGTGATGTACCTACTTGCCATAGCACGATCAGGACGAGCGTGCGTCTTTGCTGATGCGTGCGCAGCAACTTGCGGCATCTGAGGAGCCCCAACATACTGCTGCATGCTGCGTTTGGATGCCTTGAAGTCCCTGCAGCGGGTGACCTGAAGTACAACGCACAGCAGTCTTGAAAGCAAGATCAGTCGCTCAGATCTCAATCTCTGCAGAACCCGACCCGTGGGCCCAAGGCCCGACACAACTCCATTTCGACCAAACTGACCTGACCTGGCCGCATCACACCGACCTGACCGGCCGCGACGGTTCGGCCGCGTCGTTCGGCACCCGCACCCCAACGACCACGTCGACGGTGGGATCCAGGCGGCCAAGGTGAAGCCTGAGTTCGAAGGCACCGGAACCGAAGTGGTCGACAACGGCAGTGGGGGAGGCACGGCCTCGTTTTGGGCTTCATCCTGAACTTCCTGGTACTTTCATCGAGATTACAAGTGTCATTTCTTCAAGAGTTCTAGCTTTGGGTGTGCGCCTTCGTGATCTTTGGAGCCTCGTTTGTTCCTCAGGCTCTGACGCAAACGATCTCAACTCTGAGCCAATGCCCAGCTTCTTGACCTGCGGCAGAACTGCCGTGCACCCAAAATCGAACTTGTTTGTGTCTCAATCGAACTGGCCCCGGAAAAGAGTGCAGCGACCGATGGAGCGATGTCGCTGACACCAAGGGGGTGGAGCTCGCGGACTCCGCATTAAGGCCTGTCTGTGCCAGTCTGCAAGCTCGGGTCAACAGGTGGACCCAGCTGTTGGTCGCGCGAACTGGAGAGTTGGAGGCATGGAGTTCTGGATCATTTTGTTTCCCACTGATGGGATGGGTATCTGATGGTAGAAGGTACCTCCGCATGAACCCAATCTTTGAAAGGGGTTATGTCGTGAAATGAATTAGACCGGTTCGTGTAAGACTGAACCACATGGAAAAGGGCGTGCACAAGGGAGTAAAGAGCTCATTGTAAGGCTTATAAAGCATCTCCTTGTAAGAGGCCATTGTCCGCTTCCATGTTTATTGGACAATGTGGATAGAATATGAATGGAAGTGTTTCACATACCTATGACCAGTACAGTATTCTGCTGGTAATGAAATCTTACACCGCCACAGACTAAGGCTTTGATATTGAAACACACACCCACACACAAAAAAAAGTCACAAAATCGCATCGGTTAACCTGGAAGTGCAAACACCTGCAACAGCTGTTGCTAGCTGCTAGCACGTATCACAGGATCGAACCACACAGCTTTGCTCACCTCATTTGCCGGTGTGTAGCTCAATTAGCAAGACCTCCCAGTTCGACCGCCTGGAAGAAGGGAAATAGACCAAAACCCATTAGTGATCCCTACTAAAATACGCCCCCATATCTTGATCCCATCCTTATCATCAGAGTCCTTTCGCTAAATGGAGGGCAGACAGGCGTGAACATTGCCACAACATTGTCACCGCGACAGCTACAGTGGCCCTCGCATTCTCGTGGCTCTTGCATCGTGTGAGCTCCCTCTCACGATGTTCAGCTGGGGCATGGTCTTGAGGCTTGATGTGCCCACTGTCGAATTACTCGAGGTTGCCAATACGGGAATGACAAGAAGAAACTTGCAAGATTAATGTGATGTCACCTGGATGCCCAATAGAGTTAGTTCAAGTGAAATCAGGCGTTCTTGGTGATTGAGTCATTCACAGAACGGACATCTCCAAGACACTAGCAATTGCTGTAGTGATTGAATCTACGAAAATAGCTTCAAGAATATATAAACCTTCCAAGTGTGACGCTTTTCAGCACCAGTTCAAGTGGG